TTTACTATGCAGAAAATCTTGGATCCAAGACCTCTGATTGACATCATTCCAAATAGTGCACATATATTATTGGGCCTTGGAAAACTGCAAGTGATTTTGTAAAGTATTACACTATTCTATACATGAGCTTCTCTTCATGCCAAAGCATGGTGCTGATAGGCATGCCTCAAAAGCAAAGCTATCTCTGGAACACATGGAATGAAAAGCAACAACAGGAGCACATTCTCCACAGTAGACAAGTGGAGTACTCTATGGATGGGAAATGCAAGGCAGCTGTTGATGCAGGACTACCATGACTTGGGGTGGGGGTGACAGGTTGACTACTCAAGCTAATGGAAATAGGTCTCTGAGAAGTTATATGAAGGAGAGAACTGAAGCTAACAAAACATGTAGAGACTGCTATAGGGCCTGCAGTTCTGAGGATAAAGCTCTGCTTTAAGGTAAAAAGAAAATACATGTTTACTCACTGCTGTCTGTAGATTTCATAAATGCATCAGAAGTTAGTAGAGGTGGTGGGAAAGTTAAAATAAGGAAAAAAAGGTTTCTCTGTCAGCCAGAAATTATCCATTCTGCATGGAGCTTTTTACTTACTGCTGAGATCAACTACTCTGAACAAGGAGCAAGAAAGTATTCTGGTTAGGTAAAACAAGAGGAGGGGCTTTTCTAGCAGGGGAACAGAAGGGCTTTGCTAATTGGTCAATAAGGGACAAACAAACAAGCAACTTAGGTCAAAGGTTCCTTCCTCCCACACAACCAGAAGTTATATTTGCATGCAGGAGTGTAAACATGCCTCAACAAAGAGAACCCAAAACTGGTTAAGAGTTTTACAGGTATTAGTATTTTTCCCCAGAGCATTGAAGGTGTTTTGAATCATTGTAACCAAGGGTGGGCACTAAAGAGGTTACAGTGAATCTTCTAATCTAAGCTGCATCTCAACATCTCAGCCAAACAACACAGAACAAGTTGCTCAGAGCCAGGTATAGGCACTACCAGACCTAGGATAAAGGAATTCTGATGCTGCCTTCTTCCTAATTATCATTAAAAAAAAGTTAATCATGTACAGTTGGTACTCAGAAAAGCCTAAAGTGTTTGAGATGTTTGTTTACCTTACCTCCCTTTCCACTTTCTTCACTTTCCCACAAATGAATGTATGTATTTCTCAGCGAGGATCCCAAAAGGACGTCAGCTCCCCTTTACTCAAACTAGCAGCAGGAGGTAGTTCAGCAGCAGGCATTTCAGTTGGTTGATATCCTTGGTGAGACTCACCTCTTCGTAATTCTGATTGGTCAGAGGTGTGTAGGAGCAGCCTTATTTGGGGGCCATGATATCAGACAACGCAGTCCAATGAAATATCTAGATCTGGACACCTCTGTCCAATCCGAATGAAGAGAGCAGTAACATGGTGAGGAAAGAATGGAGTAATACAAATGGACTGGTGTTGGAAGCTGCCATGGACAGGAGTTTTGTGAGCAAACAACCTGTCTATTCCTGATTATTGCTTGTAGTAGAACATTCATCCATCAAGTAAGTGGATATCATACAAATCTGCACAGTTTGTATGCTGTGTTTCCCATAAGTATAATGTATGCATCAGCTTTCTTGAATCATGTTTCATGGGTATTTAATTCTGAAATGTGCCCCAGCTGGATAAACCTTCTGATTTTTTTAATTTTAATTTTTTTGCTGGGTTGACACCTGCATCATAGTCCCTCCTCATAACAATGAAACCAAGATAGCTGTAATTGGGCCCTGTTTTGTACAGTCAAGACAAAGATGGCAAGCATTTTGGCTAGTTCTGAACATAGTAGCCCTAGATTCATCCTTGGGCTGAAACAGGATGTTAGGATTAATTGGGATCTTCTTTTTTTCACTGCCGCTTGTCATAAAGGCATAAGGGAAGAGGCTGGACATTGAGGCAAGAGCCTCAAGCGTCCCTCAGTATATTAAGCCAAAACATGATTGTCGGAATCAGGCTGCTGTATAATTGACAGAAAGGGGATGTATACATCTAATACATGGATGGATAAATAGATAATACTTTTTAATGTGATAAATGTATTGTTACCCTTAAAGATGAAAAATGAATCTTGTTGTAAAAGTAACAACCACTAAGAATTAAGAACACTTTCTTGAACTACAGGAAAATGAAAAAGGTTTGGAAATACTATAATGCATGAGATGGGGACTAAAGACAATGAGTCACCAGACTGAGGTGGTCAGGGTCTCAAAGCACAGAAGGAAACAGGAATATACAAGGCCCATGCTATGACAGACAAGCAGGTTCAAGCCACCGGATTATTCAGGCTGGATCAAAATACTAAGGGCATGCCTTTATCTGATCAACTGCACAGGCAAACGCAGATACCAGAAAAGCACTTTCAAGCGCAAGCAACTGCTTGTAGGCCTTGTGGGTAGGAGAAGAAACACTCGAGGACTGCTTTCGGATACAGGAGCCCATGCCCTCTAGTTGGTCTTGAAAATGGTTTAGGAATAGTTTGGTATAAACTAAGACATAGGTATATGCTGGGGGGGGGGGAGAACTGGCCACATAAAAGTCAGAAAGTACACACAGCACATATACAAACTCAGTTTAGAGAATTTACATGCTGTGAATTCAGTCACTGTGACCCTTGACCTTGGTGTGTCGTGCATACTGGGGAGCTCCAAATTTATAATATTTATTCTCTCAGAGAGACCTCCAGATCCATTTTGCACAGTGAGCTCATTTAAAGAGGCTTCCCTGACTGCTGGTGCAAAACCCAGAGAAAGCCAGCTGTGTTAAATCACTCTCATAATCACCAGGTAATGAGTGCATTATTGCAAATTGGCTGGCAATTTTATCTAACACAGCTTTGGCTTTCACTCCTTGCTTGGTAGTTGCAACCATTTGACCTCCCAGCTACAAAAAAAAGAGAGGCTGTTTATGAAGTTGACAGGTCCATATTATAAAGCCATTTCATTTGGAAAGTGGGGGGAGTAGGAGAGGGGTGTTAAACCTTTCCCCCCTCCTATACTTTTGCCCCCCCCAACACCTCAACCTTGTCTGGGCTCTAAGAAAGACTGTAAACTTGGCTGAAAGAAAGGCACCTGTGGTTAAGGAACATGGGGAAGGAAGGTCCCAACTAGAGGTGTGCAGATGTTTTTTTATTGCAGCTCCAAGATTTTTTGGGAATTGTAGTACATAAACATAAATGTGCACACATTGAGTCACAACACTTCCTGTCCATTCTTCTGTGCTTTACACTGTGGCCAGTCCCCCCTTTTTACCTGTTCAACAGAAGCAGGCCCAGCCTTAAAGGCTCTTATAGAAGCAGAGAGGGGAGCCCCCTCACATTCCCACACAACAGGCAACACATGTGAGGACACCAGGCTGGGGAAAGCTAAGCCTTAGCGTTGTTTAAATGCCTGTGCTGTATTATTTATCTATCTGGCCATCACTCCCGAGGGCTTTATTTGCAGTGGAAAGTGAGGTAATGAATCAGTTCTATGCAAAGCCAAGTGGGGAGACTACAGAGCCAATTATGGTACTTAACTCGTTAAATCCACATGAAGAGGGGGGTGTAGTTGGGCTGGAGGGGCAGGAAGCAGCAAGGCAGCTATGTTGATGCTCCACAAAGGTTGCCAACTTTTGATTCAGAAGTGAAATCCACTGAAGTCCAGTAAATCAGTGAGGGGAACTGCCTGCAATCCTGCCTGGTGCTTAGCAGGCACAGAGGGCTTGTGTGCCAAAATAAACATAATGAGAGATTTACTAGTGGGATTCCGAGGGCCTTTGTTTTACTGATCAGCAACCTCATGAGACTGTTTCAAAAATGGTGGAAGTAGCAGCTGAGGAGATGAGTGTCGCTTTTCCTTTCTGTGCAATTTCCTCAGGCTAAAGCAAGTTTGGTGTGGTGGTTAAAATAGTGGGTTTGCATCTCTATGATCACCGGGATGCTCGCCAGCTGAGTCTGGCAGCCGCACAACCTCTCTGAGCTACCGTAACCTAACTTGCAGGGTTGTGGTGAAGGCAAGAGCCAACCCACCCATGCCACTGTCAGAGTCTTGTGGAAAGAGTAGGAAATAATAAATATTTTCCCCAGCTCTCCCCAACTGCTATTAGTTCCACAGGAGCAAAGACATGTACTGTATAGACACTGCACAATAATAACTGCTAAAATAAAAATACAGCTGTGAAAATAGTGCCAGCAGTTCTACCTGTTTAGATAGAGAGACACTCATTCTCCCATTTGAAGGCCAATGTTCCAGGCCAGATTAAATAACTCATTTGTTTTACATAATTATTTCTTACATTGGTAACCCAGCTAGGTTATAGATCCCGGCCGTGAAAGCCTTCGCGAATACATTTCTTACATTGGTAACCCAGCTAGGTTACCAATCTAGGGAGCTCAGGTGGATCTACTTGGTTCTTGTCCATCCCACGAGTTGATAAGGGAGGTCCAAGTGAGACTGTGGCCGAAGGTCATCCAGTGTCTTTGATGGCTGAGTAGGGGTCTGATCCCAGGCAAAAGTCCCAATCCAGTGCTCTAACCACGCACAACAGGTTGGCTCTTTTCTCCTGTTTCTACTTTTACATGGATGCCTTTTGAGCTCTCTTCCACATTTAATTTTTCCCCACTTCAGTATATCAGCTCACTCCTTACTGAACTGTGAAATTCTCAATTGCACTTCACCTCGGGTCTGGCCGGAGCTTTGCACTTTTATTCCCTGGCAAATCAATGCAGCCTTTTCTTCCTTTCATTTTATATGCTTCATTGAATTATGATCCCTTCAGCGAGTGACCTCACCTGTCCATGCATCAATCAGAGTATGCGTGCCAAGTTTCTGGCAGTCCTTTAATCTCAAATGAGTTGCTAACATCAAAGAAATACATAACTATTTTTTATTTCACTTCCCAGAAACATTTACTAGCACAGACACAAGAGTTCAGGTACTCCAGAGGGATCTTGTTTTCCTGCCTTTTCTCCTAGGCTTGACACACAGTTTAAGGAACCGCCAACTAAAGCTTCAAAGGATCGCTTCTTGCTCTCCCCCTTTCACTCGCTAGCCGGATGTCAAGATCTCGAAGTTGGCTGAGGAAGCCAGTGTTTGGACAGACCCCTCTGTGCTCCCGCACACTGTTTAGGGCATCCACGAGAGTCTTGTTTTCGCATATCATCAAGAAGGCAAGCACAAGTGTTGCTGAGCGGCTTATGCCCATGGCACAGTGAACCAATACTCTTCCTGCAAATTGGGGAGAAAGAAGTGTTCATCACATGCTATGGTTTATACATCATACTAAGAAATTGGGTAAATATTTAGACTTGCCAGTAAACCACGATTGTATGACAGTCAGTGGGAAATGTCTATAGTTCGCTATAATCCTGTTTTCCTTTTCTTTTTCTTCAATTTTTTGACCTATGCCAAAGTAAATGTTCTTTAACAACAAAGGGCAAATGCCATTGGATGTTAATGGGCAAAAGTGGCACTTTTTGCCATGAAACAGCAGATGCCAAAATTTACCGATCGACCTGTTCAAATCTTAAGACTTACCAATAAGTGTGTGCATGCTATATATTCATCCAGTTCCATCATGAAAAGTGGTTCCATTCACTGCAAGTGGTAGAAGCCAGAGGCACCCAACATTTATCCCAGCACACTCTTATATTGGAGTTTAACTGTACTGAGTTTGGTTGAAGCAAAACTCCATTCTGGGTTTCTTGCTCATTGCCCAGTTCTTCAAACTTTCCTAATGACAACTGCCCTATTTCACAAGACAAAAGATGTCTTTTTAAAAAGGAAGCAGCAGACTTTAGTAGAGTGCAAGAAGGCCCTTTTTAAAAGAATGTCCACCTTGACATCATTTGTCAATAAATTATTGTGAGGCTAGAGAGCTCAGGCGTGCTCTGGTCCATGGCGTCATGAAGAGTCGGACACATCTTAATGACTAAACAACAACAACAAAGAGAGCTCAGGGAAGCATTTCCCTTGAGGAGACACCTGTTATACCTGCACTCCTTTAGGTGTCCATTTGTCACACTTCCAGCTGACTATCCCACCTACCCCATTACACATTCCAGTGATCTGAGCCAACTTTAGAAAACTAGTTAGAAAGGGGTAAAGACATGTCTAGTCAATATCCTTATTCAAATTAACTGCATTTTTGCACAGAATTGTAGAAAGGCTGATTTGATGTTAGACATCTTCAAGCCTATAGACTCAGAATTTCACAACGTAATACTGGAAAATGAACAGGCCTGCAGGGATGAGGCTCTTGTAAGTGTCCAGGAGGTTTCAGGTCATGTCTAGCACTATTAGGACAAGGAACCAGGTCATTGCTGGCTCCCACATTTTTGGGAATATGAAATCTAATAATTACACAGATTTGCCAACAATCTTGCTGAAAGACACAAATGTCAAAATGTGTGTGCATATTTCTCTTGTCAAAAAATATTTGAGCAGCGAACTGAGGCTTTGCACTTGTTACCACCAATCATCCTTTTTTGAGGAGGGGGAGGCAGATGGGTTCCATTCCTCTCACAAAGGATGTTAACTCCCAATAGCCCACACTCCTGCTGGGAGATGTTTTCAGCTAGGGAGATACGCACACAACATCTGTTCTTTTCTTAACAGATTGCGGCAACTGATTTTTATTTCCTGCCCAATCTCTCTTAGGAGGCAGCCTCTATATCTGAAAGAAATAGTGAACAGTGACATCATAGGCACCTGCTTAGTGAGAGTTCCTGGTTAGCTGGTCGAGGGGAGCAGATTCCCTGGGGGGTTGTGTGCCATCTCCTCTCAGTAGCATGAGAGGAAACCTAAGTCCAATTCCTAAATATAGCTGCATAAGAAGGAACCAGTGGAGACATCTAGGCAACAATTTCGTTCATAAAGCAAGATGAGAAGGCAAATGCGGACATTCTTTGTAAAGGTCAGCGTTAGGGTTGTAGTTAAATATTCATAAAGTCCTTTTCAACTTGCTGAATTCAATATTTCAGATTCTGTTTATTGGTTGAGATTGTGATAAGAACAGAAACCCAACTAAAACACAGATGTTACTTTAAATCATTGAATACTGACATTTTATCATTTTGGGGGGGGAACCAATCTGTTCAGATAATATTTGAAACATACACATGGTGAGTAATCAAAAGATTTAGGTAGGAATGTTTCAGCTTCACCTCGAATCCTTCAGCCTAGCTTATGACATGTGTTACAAATTTACTTGGTAGTGAGGTTCTTTGCAGAGGTTTTTTAGAGGGCTGCAGACTAATCAAGTTACCCAAATTTTCATGCAACTACAACACATTTTGTCTACCATCAGACATTGAAAGGCTTGGTAAATTTAGGGTTTCTGTAGCCAGTGCCCTCTTACCTCCCTCTGACATGCACGCTCTATAGCCCTAACCCTACACCAGACAAGCTCAGCGGCTTTACTACAAAGGAGGAATCGACATCCCGGTAAATATAAAGCAAGTTGCTGGCTTTTGCCAGGGTTTTGGATTAAAAATGCCTCTTATCAAAATCAAGAGCAATCCTCTAGCCTAGGACCACATTGATTATTCCAGTTTCCTGCCACCCTGAAGTATACAAAGCAGGGTTGCTCCAGAAGCACCTAATTTGGAAGGGCAAGGCCATCTTGGTCAGCAGCCTTACCTGTGCCGGGTTCAGCCACATGACCTCCTGTTAAAGAAGAAGCTGAGTGACCGCTTCTAGTAGGCATGCTTCAGTCTTGAGAGACTATGGTAATGTGGTCTGAATAGAGGACTTGGAACAGCATCTAGTGTGGCTGAGGCCAATTCGAGAGTGGCCACCCCTTCCACACTGAAGACAAACACAATCTGTCCCCTGTCCATCTCCCTGATTTTGCTGGTTTTGGCACTGCCTCTTTGCCTCAGCCTGCTGAGCAAGTGTCTCTTCAAATTGGGAGAGGCCGTGATACACTGCCTGCCTCCAGGCTGAACGCTCAGATGTCAGAGCATGCTTATTAGAAAATTAAAAGGCAGAGAAGAATCATCCAAAGCATGAGAGGAGTACAAGGCAACAGACCAAGCCAGATTTAATTAATTAATTAGTTTGTCTATTATGGGCATTCTGAATGCTTGAGAAGGCTGGGCTCACCCCTCTGGGGCTTTGGGTATAAAGCCTTGACCAATAGGCCTTCTCCTTGCACTCTATTCCCTCCTCTCCCACCTCCCATAAGTAACTTTTATGGTAGAAAAAGCTTTCCTCCAACTGGCACAGGAGGCTTTCTCCAAACGGATGTTGCAGCACAGAGGGGCAAAGCAGGCTGGCAGGAACAGCTGAGGAAGGGAAAGTGGGTACACAAGAACAGGTGTGTTTAATGTTTGTGAACATTTGTATGCAAGTGTACAGTAAAGGGTCTTGTGTTGTGCACAAGTGTGTGGGTAAGAAAGAGAGAGAGATGTGTAACCACTTATATCATCTGACAGTCTCTAAACATATACAAACAAACGGATCTTATTGCAGTATCTGCTGCGGCTGGAGTCAGTTCCAATTCTGCTTGCAGATGCCAGAAAACACAGAATTATCAACTGCTATACCTTACATGGACTCTGGCTCACTCTAGGGGCCAGTTCTGGTAAATACACTCTGGAAATACATATAAATCCATGTTTCTGGGGTTTTTTATTTAGTATTTTCAGCCAGCAGATAAGTGAATCAGCAGATATTGATTCCCCCATATAAGGGGGTCCTGTTGTACTATGCAATGAGATAAATGGTATTCCCCTGGCCTTTCACATTTACCTCTGGGAGAGTTCAGCGCTGCTCTTATATATTTAGCAGTTGGCTGGAAGTAAATACTGAGGTCAAACTTTGGATCATCATCTGCTTCAACCCCATAGTAGTCCACAGGCAGGTCTTTGTAGAATTTGGGTCCAGTGTCAATGTGGAATCTTCCAGCAGCAGCATTCACTATATGAGTGATACCCATTCGGCGAAGTTGTTCAATGTCACGGGCGATATATCTGCCAAAAAAGAGTACTTCAGTTGCATTTATTATGATATTACATGTACTTTTCCTGCTGTTAAAAGACACACAAAATATCTAGCCTGGACAAGCCCCATACATTGAACCTCAATACATTATCTTCCGAACTTGCTGTTTAAGAGTCATTGTTCCTCCTGCTAAATAGCCTGCAGGCAGACAACTGGGGTTTGTTTCCCCACCCCATCCCATTTCAAAGAGTTGAAGGTGGCTGATAGAGGTACCTTTTCAATATGCTACCTGTTGTGCTCAGAGGTTTGGCAGGCTTCTAAGTGATCCACAGTAGTGGGGAAGATAGAGAGAACTGTTCAGTTACGTATGATGGCAAAATCTTTTGTAAGGGCTGGATACCATTGTCCCATTTTCAAGTGCTTGTTCAGTTATGATGGCAAAATCTTTTGTAAGAGCTGGATACCATTGTCCCATTTTCAAGTGCTGAAAAATATCAAGTTTCTAGCAACAGTGTTTATATTTTTTTCCACTCAGCATGGTGCTTGGAGTGTCTGGGATTGTTTTAATGCTGATACTTGTAGTTTATTTCTATATTTATTAGCTGAAATGCTGTTGCTTAGTGTAATAAGTCACACTAGAGTAAACCCATTGAATCAGTGGGGATTTGGTGAGTCAACTCCTCGCAAGTTCCATTAATTCAAATAAACCTACTCCACATGACTTACTATGCTAAGGTCATTTACAACTAGAGTAGGCCCATTTGAATCGCTTGCATTTATGAAGGAGTTGACTCCCCAAATCCCCTGCTGATTCAGTGGGCCTACTCTAATTTGACTAGTTACTATGCTAAGCAACAGGATTTCAGCCACTGAATTGATATGATCTCATTTCCAACATGTTCTTAAACTGGAAAACAATAAATTCATGAAAATTGTAGGTGCATGTAAAAACATTAAAAGCATTTGATTAACTAGATAAGCCAGCAGAAATCACATCCTGTAACAGTAAACCAGAGACCCAGCATGGCATAATAGTCAAAGTAACAAAGAATGACCTTGGTTGAAGTGTCTGGATAGCTTGCAAATTCCCTGGTGGGTAGCACTGGTAAAAACTTATTAAATATCTCATAAATCTTGAAAACTCTATTAGTGTCACCATAAGATGAATGCCACTTAATGGTATGTCACAATGGCAGTAAATAGGCATAGCCTCTCAAGATTGAAGGATGCCTAATCTAAAATAAATAGACATGGGCCTTTCAGATTTTTTTTCCACCATAGCTCCCAGAGTTTACCAGGAATTCCTCACCGGAATTCTGGTCACTGTAGCCCAAAAATCCAAGTCCTTAGAGGAGTTTCAGTACACGCACCTGTGTCTTGGCAAGTCTCTCCCCCCCCATTGAAAGCCATTAGGATGAAAAAGAGGGAATGTCTAAGCTTCATGGGAGCTGCAAATGACTAGAGGACTTTTGAGAGGACCCTGTAGAGATCCGAATAAGCAGAGGGGCTACCAATCCTCTAATCCCTTTCAGATCCCATGGAGTTTATCCACTCCCAAAACATCCAGAGGGCTCCAGTTGCCCACCCCAGTAACTACTGTGCAGGGAAAGGATTTAATTGAAGTCAGTAGCTATGCTTACCAGTTTCCTGCTCAGTTTTAAGTAGAAGGAGCAGGGGATTCAAGCCAGAATACAAATAGTATGGGCCAGGAACCTTCCTGTATGTATGCTTCCCAGTAGGTTCAACCCATGAACTAGAGGTGGGAGAAGTTATGTTTTTGGCTACAGCTTTGAAAACACCCCAGCTAGTTTGGCCAGCCATACTCACTACAGTTTTTTTGAGACTTGTAGTTGAAGAAAGAGAATTTTCCTACCTCTGCCAAGACTTATGGCACTGACTTGGCCTTCTGCATGAATTCCAAATCCTATTTACAGCTGTGGTTTCTGATCTGACAACACCAACACTCCTTAGAGTGGGGCACCTAAGAAGATCTTTCTTGCCGGTATTTCAGCGGATCAGAAGTGGACTCACTCTGTAGCCTTGTTATTCAGGGTCAAGTCAAGTTACCTAGGTGATCCTGAGGACATCTGCCCCGACCTTATTTGTTTACTGGTTGAAACATACAAGTAAACTGTGGCAAACTATCCATGCAGACAGAATACCATGGCCAAGCATTGTGCTTTTTCAAGTCACTGTGTGCCCTGTCAGGTTTGCCATCTGGGCCAGTGATGATCTGTGAGCCAAGTAATATTCTGCCATACTCACACATTTTTAGTATGCACAATTTAATGCTTTGTTGGAATGCAAGAAATGTAAAAATAAACCGCTATAGAGATAGCTTAGCAGGACTCTTGCACAATGAAAATTTAAAATATAAAAGTACAAAAGCCCCGACTGTACTGAACGGTGTCAGCTGATTGATAATATTTACCTGGTGGGTTGGAAGTTGCCTGCAATGCTTAACAAAATAAATATTTTGATTATCTGGCTGAATGCCAATTATAGCTGTGAACTCTCGAGCCTCTAGGCCTGGACTGGAAAAGCTGTGGCCCTCAAAGGCATTTTGGACTACTGTTAAGTGCACTGATCTCATTACTTACAAATCTCCAATGTAGAGATTTGGCCAGACCTCATTGACGTTGCCACGGCAGGGCACAGGTGTCCACAGCATGCGCTGGAGGTCCCCCAGTTCTGGTGTTTTATAGTCCCCTAGTCTGCTGGAACTGAGGCTTGAAGCTGTCCGTATCCTGGGCCGCCGCAAGTCATCCCCACGTAGTGAATCCCAAGACATTCTAAAAGACAAAGTAGAGAACCAGGAGTCCTTTGACCTCATGATGATCAAGTATAGTGTAGTGACCAAAGTGCTGGATTTAAGCAAACCTTGAGTCAAATTTTTACTCAGCCAAGCATATAATGAATTTCAAAGTTTCTGGCATAAAAATAAGACTTGCTGTTGAATTCAGGACAAAACCCATATACCAGTCGATGGGATTCTGAAAAGGCAGGATCTGTTTTCTAATCCCAGGGAGGTAGTGGAAACCTGAACCAACGCTGGAGGCTTCAGGGGCTAATATGGAGTTCGGTTCCTAGAGGGAATGAACTGACATTTAATCTAGAGATGTTTGTTGTGCTGGTTGAGGATTCTAATAACCCCTTTGGAGGTGGTCAGCACCTTCTTGACAAGATTGCGCTGTCCTTCACAAAACAGGTCTGCATTTGGGGTCTAGTGGGTGAGCGAGAATGAGTTTTTCTGCTCCTGCCCAGGGGTAGTCACACATGTGGAATTGATTCCAATGAATCGATTCTACATCTACCTCAAAACAAACAAGGAGCAGAGGAGCAGAAAAACTCACTCCCCTGAAACACTACTCTGCACGTGCATGTACCTCATGTTTACACCTACATTTGAGTCAGGTTTCTTTTAGTTGAACCTGATACGAGTGGTTTTTATTGTCAGTAGGATCAGAGTCCAAGGCTATGTACAATGGTGTGAGTAACAATAATGGCAGATTGTTCAGCAACAATTGCAAATAGCATATGAGTGACGGGCAGTGTGGAGCCTCTGTGATGAATTTAAAGGCCAACAACAGTTCTAAAACATGCAAGATAATGAAGAAGACTGGGATGCTTTTGAGCATCTGAAAGTAACAGGTTTCAAACGCATGGGATTAACCCCAAAATATAGGGCTGCAATATCCCTGTCCCTGAGATTCCCAGTCCGACGCCTATGACTCTGAAAATGGACATGAAAATCTGAGCCTTGGGGCTAAAACCTGAGAGCCAGCAACCCACATACTGAAGTGCTCAACCTATACCTGGGCTATACCACTTCAGACTGTGCCTGTGGGGTGTGTGGATGTGGGTGTCACATGACTGAAAGTTACTCCATTCAAAATAATGCCTTTGCAGCGCTTGCACATAGGAAAAGACTTAGGTGAGAATTCTTTGAGAGGAAATTGTGTTCTAGGGAGGAGAATTTAATCGTGTGCAGCTGCAACTCGAAGCAGTACCTCAGAGGCACAACCACCTCAGTAAGAATTAAGCCACAGACACAGGCCTTTAGGTGAATTTTCCCCTAAGCTAGAAGCATACACTTCCTGGAAAAGCATTTCCATCATGACCTCTCTCCGCAAATTACATGTTTTGCGACCATTATTGGGATTGGTAATTGACCGCTTAAACCTGATTGTCTAATTTTTTTGCTCATAGGGAGTACCGTGGGGATAGAATGAGAATAACTGAACTCACAATAATGATCGAAGCCCGACTGGCTAACTTTGAAAGCTGCGCTGCTGGTGGTTTCTTGGGATGCAAACTTATTTAAGCGGCCAACTATTTGTAGGAAAATCTCTCCAGCAGCTGGAAATAACTTCTGACAGGTTAGGAGAAGGCTCTGTGAACAACAGTTTGGGTTCCACTTAACATATTTTTCACAAGGTGACCAGAGGCCATGGGGTGCAAGAGCCGGAATACATTTCAGTTCCCTGGACTATGCTGGATGTATGTGTGGTGCCTGTTGTGGGATATGGTCCCAATAGAGTAGGTCTAAATATACACATGTATCAGTTCAACAATCTGTGTTTCCTCCAAACAGGTGAGACTGCCTAGTCTTCTCGATAAAGAGGTCCTTGGTCCTTGGTTACCAGTGACAAAGCTTTCCGAGGATTCCCTTATGAATGGCTGTTTTACCAGGATGTCCAACTTTATAAAGCAGATGCCCAGTCCATTAGCTAGCCAAATAAACATTCTGCACCAGGAAACTCAAGTCTATTGGGTGTGCCATTACATAGTATCTTCCTCTACGCTGTTTCTGGATCACTTTAGTTTTGGAGTTTGGTCATCTGCCTCTTGCTGTATGCATTTGACTGACCTTGCTTTAAAACTGCCCATAAGGCTCCTCACTTTTTAAAGCCTCTTGTCATGGTTCAGTCCCATTTGCTTGTTGCAATATACCAATGTTCTTGCTGATTAGATGAAAGCTCAAAAAGTTACTTTTTTGGATTGCAGCTACCAGAGTGGCCGGGCCAACATGGAGTAGGCATGCTGGCTAGCTAAAGGATTCTAAGATAGATTGGCCCCAAAAAATAACTTTTTCCAGATCTTTTTCAGATCCATGTTCATGTTCAGCCTGGTTTTTTTTATAGTAGCATCTAGCTTTATACTTACAGAAGCTCACAAGCAGCACATCGTGGTGATAGCCATCCTGTGCGGTTCTTCACTGCCATATAGTACTCAAGTGAGGTCTTATAACTGATAGCTGTTGATATTCTTATGCATTGATTTGTTTATTATTTTTTTAAAAGCCATCTGTGCAAGGCAGTTCCACAAAAGGGCACTTAGGCAGTTTTAGCATTCAGATTTAATAGTCGTGCACCAGATAGGGAGAACAGTCTTTAAATGATACCGGGTATCGTTGCCCCCACTCCACCACTCCAAGCTTCCTGATCAGAAAAAAGGCTCCCAACAAACACTGGAGAGGCAACAGGAAGCGTGGGCAGAAAGAGGCTTTACTAAGACTCAAAGCTTTCTGGTTTTGACCCTTCTCGTAAGCGCATCACATTCAGGTGCTGGTAAGGTGTCTTTGAGACAGGCAGAACTAACAGAGTGAAGGATAATGGCATTTGTGGTCTAGAAAATCCAAAAATTATATCCCTAGGCATTGCTAATTTGCCTAAGTAATATCTTGGTTCATTGGTCCTGAAGAAATCTTTGGTTAGACTATGGTGGTTGGTGCCTGAGTTATCTTCTTTTACAAGAAGCTGTGACGTTTACCCATGTGGCCCTTACTTCTTTCACCAAACACAGAGCTCATGTGAGTATTCCAACACGTCCTTTACCACGCTGCTACCAGCTGATCTCTGTCAACACCCTTTAACTATAAATATTGAGGTCGAAGCTGAGTATAAAGTTGAACAACACAGGTTTATTGATTACAGTTTGCTTATACAGGTTCTTCACAGACTTTAATGTATTCATTAGATTATTAATAACTTGTTTCACTCTTAACTCTTTTAGTTCTGTATAAGTTCCACACACTTAACTCCTAACTCTGCCACACTCTCTAACTACCACAGACTAACTTCTACTTCAGACTCTCATCTCTTGACTCTCTCTCTCTCAATTCCCTACCTGCTCCCTATCTCTCTGACTAACCAGCCCGGACTCCTCTTTCTTCCGCCAAGCCTCATGTAACTGCTGACTCCGCTTCTCCAGTCCTCTCATAGGTTAATGCAAATCAGCTCATGAATATGATTGGCATGAGTGACATGGGCGGTCGCCACAGAAGCATTTTAAAAATCTCCCCTTTTCCATGTGGACACTCCTTCTAGAATGATTCCCTCCTCTTTCTAACCATGCTCTTCAAGCCATGCACAGTGGTGCCAATGTGGCAGAGGCATGTTTCCTGGAAGTAAAGTCAGTAGATAATGCCTCAAGTGCCAAGATGCCTTGCATGTTCTGGGCCCACGCCAGCGGGTAGAGGTTTTGGGCCACCATCCTGGCCAATCCAGCCATAAGCCATCCAGACTTTCCATTCCTTCTGTGTTGCTGAACGCTCTTAAAATATTTTGTGTATTTTGCCTTTCCTGGTTACAAATGTTATGGGTGGGTTTAACAGCTTATGTTGAACCATGTGTGCGTATGTGTGTGAGAGTGATATACGAGAGAGCAAGTGAGGGTGCCGTGGCTTACTGCAGCCTTGTCTGTTCAGAATTTATTACCAGTACCGTTTAGACCTCATTTTACAATCCTGTAATTATAGGCAATGTTACATAAATATCCATCAAGAGCATCAGCCCCTGGTGTAAGAGTCACCCAGAGGGCTTTTGTTTGCCAAGAGTGGAGTTCAAGCCCTTGCGCGTCAATGATGTCATCAACATTTGCAGGGAAACACAAACATTTAAACCTGCCCAGGGAGTTGTGTTCTTCTCTGGTGCTAGGTGTTGCTGAAGTCATCATCTGGAGGAAGCGAGATCCCCGGGGCCTGCTTTTGCTCTTGGCAGGCGAGGCAAAGGAAAGACTGGCGGCCAGTCCTTGCAGCCCCTTCTCTCTACCCCCTCCCTCCAGCCTGTGTTCCCTTTGAAGAGGGTGAAATATTTGGCAGGGCCGAGGCTGCCAGAAGGGGATCTGGTAACTGAAGCTGCTGTGAAACCGGTGGGTTTCGTTTAGGCTTCAATCCATTTAGAAAGCGCGGTTGAATTGCTGCTCAAAGTGTCAGCAAGTTTTAATTTTAAGAAGATTTCCGGGAAAATGTTTTGATGAGTGTCTCCTTAACCATCGCTAGCACCTGGAGTCTCAAGAAAGCCGCAGTGTGCTTCCAGATTTAGGGCTCCTGCTGTGCACAAGTAAAGAGCATTTTGTAATTTTTCTCTAGCATGAAAAAAGATGGAAGGAATCATGGGAAAACATGGGAGGGCTGGATTTTGAATATATCATTGTCTGGACCTCCTGTAAATCCATGAATGAGGTACTGCGATGGGACAGTCGGTTTTGTTTGGGAGCCTCTTGTATGGCCCAAACTAAATGTGTGAGAGCAAATCAATGTATCCTCCTCCCCATATCTGCTAAAAGGTTTGGTGGGGGTTGATTTTAACACATCTGTGGTAATCTCTAAAAGAAAGGACTGGATCCCTAAGATACGTATACCAGAAAGAGTTAGTTGTTCTAATGGTTACGGTAGCAAGATTAATATTTATGAGTTTGCTGGGTTTTTTTGTGTTTTAGCAGCTATTTGCTACTTTCTCTCCATTGTGTTTATTCCTTCCCACTAGAAAGACAAATGATATTACTATTA